ACGTTTCTTTCTGAAAAGCCTCTTGTTACTTTTGGAAAGTTTTGTGTGAGAACCTTACAGACGTGTTTGTACGTTTTATTGGCTTCAATGAGATTCCTTATTAAAGTGACATTGCTTTCCATATATTCCACCATATTTGTCTCTTGACTAGCGGGTCAGTCAATTCAAGCAAAACAAATGGCGCTAAACGGTTGACATCTGTCAATCAGTAGAATTTAAAACGGCTTTCAAATATAGTTTGAAAATGCCGTTTATTTTCAAAGGTACCTTTTTCGCACTTATGAGAACATCGCTTCCAACCGCAAAAAAGGTACCTTTTTTGCTCTTTTGATAGGAACGTTTCTAAAAAGCAAAAAAGATATCTTTTTCGCGCTTTTGAAGAGATCGCTTCAAATTGAAAAAAAGTTACCTTTTTCGCACTTTAAAGTTTTGTTTAATAAGGTGAGAAATGGATGAAAAGCGGACAATATTGACGTTAAAATATTTCCACTCGAACGCTTAAAATACCCGCCCTTTTTTCTTTAAAAAGGTACCTTTTTTTAACTTTTCACCTAATCGACTAGCATTAACAAAAAAGCTAACAATTTTGCAGAGAGGTAATTTTTCTGCTCTTTTCAATCAGGAGAGTTGATCTTTCTGTAAAAAAGCAGAATTGCCGGAACCTTTTACTGATAAAACAGCAACACCACAACGCGCGAATTCCGTTCCCGAATTCCGTTCCGCTTCGCATACTTCTGTCACGCACTCCCCGTAAATAAATATCCGCGAAATTCGCCCGCACTGATAACAGTTTGGCGTGTTGGACAATAAATAGCTTATTAGACGTTTTGTTGTGTAGTATCGCTGAGTATTTTTACTCGCTATTTGTATTTTGACGAGCCCTACGGGCTCGTCAAAATACGGCACAACTCGTAAAAATATTCAGCGATACTACACAACAAAACCTCTAAACAGATATATCTGTTAAGCAATAGTGAAAATCAGACCTGAAAAAATTCAGGCCTGTACGGGATTCGAACCACTGACCTATATATCTAAGTACTGACCTCTTAGACTAACAACAAATGCGACCCACTGGTATTTAATTAGCAAGGCTGGAATTCATGGATACTCAGAAAGATTGTTTTTAAAGCTAACGAAATCAGAGCTTTTAAGTGTTTTTCGACGGAAGATTTGGCGGGAAGATGACAAATTATTTGATCTCTTCCGGCTTACAAGGAGTCTCAGAGGTCTCCTTTACAATGTCCGGAGAAGAGGGGTTTGTTGAAGTCCTAAATATAATAACTTTCCTAAATGTAATAAAGTTTTAAAGGTAATATCACTTAGTCCTTAATGTAATGTAATAACATTTGGTCCTAAATCTAATAAGCCTCCAATGGAATCGTTTGACTGCGCTAGTGCATTGTTGTTATTAGCGGACACCCGCACTGAGGTGTTCAAGCGACATCTGTTGCACCGAAAATCCTCTGACCAGTATTCATGTCACATTGCGGGCTCGCTGATATCAATTAGCATCTTTTTACCTGCTAGTCGCAAGTCGAGTAGCACTGGCTGGAGACCGTTATACTGACAGCATGAACTGACAGCTGGCTAAACAATGAGTACGCTGACCAATACCTTCATATATCACTGGCTCAGACTCTTAAGTACAATAGATTTTGGACAAATGTGATAATGTTATACTTGTGTGATCAGTGACGGAGGTACCAGTCTTAAACCAAATTAAAAACTTAGACAAGGAAGTTTGCAGACTTGTAAGTCGGACAATTTGCAGGCTCGGATATAAATTTTTTGTCTTTACTTTCTCGACCAGACCTTGTTAGCATGCGCATTTTGTTTCCCGATTCGGGCCTTGTGACAGCCCTCTAGAGAGTTAATGCCTATAAGAATAGAGACAAGATGATTTTTCTCCCCAAGAGAACATAATTAGGGCCAACCATGTTCTCTTGACCTTGAAATGCATGCAACAAATCCAACAAACAAAAAAGTTATTGTACGGATCTGCATCAAATTATATACTCAGTTGCTTACATTTAACAGGTGTAAATGAAAAGAAGCTGCTGACCAGTACATTCAAAATGGTTATTTATGTCAAAGGCTGTAAATGATGTCCCGGTCCCCAAAAACTCACGCAAAAATTTGTGCTCTTGCTTTCCCAGAAATGTAAGTAAAACCAATCGTGTAAGCCGTTTTTTAATGGTCTACTAATTGATTTAAAGAAAAAAAAGGAGACATGGTTTGCTCGACGCGTTGATCTCCTCAACGATCAAACATTAGATAACAAAAATAACCTGACTCTGAAACAGACTTTTCTTCTTCGGAATCGGCACTATGAGACTGACATGCGCGTAAAGAGCAGAACTTTTCCGTTTCAAATTAACTGTCAGTAACACAAAAGATTTGCCCATTAACGTTGTATCGATTGGTTGAACTTACTTGGAAAAGATTCTTGAGTTCATATGGCAACGAAGTTTTGACTGGTGATGATAAAAATAGCAATAAGGGCGAAAATCATTTTACGAGCCGGTGAAATATTTCCGGAAGTTTTCTTTGAGATCTACATCGAATGTAGCACGCTAATACTTGCTTTGATTCAACATCATGATGAGATTTACTATCTTAGCCACTATAGTTTTAACATTACTAGCAGTATTGTGGGATAGGTCTGTGGCCCATAAAGATCATGAAAACTCTGAAGGGAACAGGAAACCCTCTGCTTTAGTAGACGACGTCTATGAAGCCCTCATCGACCTTGCGTGCAGCTGCTGTGTGATACTGGAGAGCCGGCGAAAGGGAGTATCCATCTAAGAAGACCATGGTGATAAGGCACCATATTGCGAGGGACGTCGAATGTTAAAATCCTCAGAAGTAAACAAAGTAGTGGTTGAGGAATTTGAAAGGAAGAAAGGATCTGGTGCGGGGATGCTGGCTTTCTCTCTGAGGGACAACCTTTTTGGAAGAAAGTCGAACTAAAACCATGAGAAAGGAAATTTAGTGTACTTAGAAAGTAATCCGTGCGAAAGCGGCGGCTTCCCTCTTTAGGAGTACTTGGCAGCTGATGAGTTCGCTTGCTGGTACGACCATTTAACTCATATGGCGCGGAATGGGACCAATGGGGATCAGATAACAATGTATGCAGCAGCAAACAACATCGATATCCAAATAGTGTCCTCTCTAGGAGTTGGTGGGCAGCATGTATTCAGTTCTTCAGTAAATGTTTTAGCAGCTACCATGTACCTAAGAACTACGGCGAACACTATATGAGCTTGGAACAAGTTACGCATCACAACCATGGACGGTAGTAAAGAAGACTACGAAGCTAATGACCCAGGAGAAGGAGAAGTTTCCGAGGATTATGCAAATAAAATGCATACGGAGTAGGATTTTGAAATGGATGCTGTTGATTATCAGGATGACATTGACGCAAAAAGTGGGCCTGGTAGTATCGTCGACGATGGTGGCGACACGGATATGACTGCAGATATAGCTAAAGGATTACACATGGTTGCCGAACGAACGAAACGGAGCCTGAATTGCAAAATGAAGTCCCCAAAGGCATAGTCAACGATGGTGATAAGCTAATAGATGTTCAGTTTTTTTTAGACTAGGCATCGACTTATTTGCGGCGAGAAGGGATGACGAATGTCACATTGCAAATCTTCTTTTTAGTTGCAGTCGTAAGTGTGGGGCCTGGTGACTAAGATTAGACGCAGCTGGGGCGGTAGGTGCCAAGCATTCTGACTGTACAGCATAACTGGACAACAACTGAAACCAGCGGTCAAACGTTGGGCATATGCGAGTGGATCAATCTGGCCAGCGGCGCACAAATTAAATTCCTCGCGCAGAATTTTAAACGAAAACATCAAGAATCGACCGCTGTTGCAAAATAAGTAAAAGAAAATTTATAAAAATCAGAAGTGAAAAGAAAAACTGGAGACTTTTCAAACGCAAAGCTTATTCAAGTACTTTATCATTCTGTTTTGAGCCTAACTAAATACACCTCTGCGCTTCTAAAACACAATGACTCACTCGCTTGTGTGGTTGTTTGTAACTTTTGGACAATGTCTGCGACGAAGTCGCAAAAAGCAGCAGAAGACAGTCAAAACAAAGAAAACATTTAAACGACCCTCTTGGGTTTACTGTGCTATAAACACAGTTGGCTCTCTTTCTCGATTCTCAAAATAAACAAATCATTCTTGATTCTTACTGGAGTGAAATCTCTTTGCTTTATAATCAATCCTTCATCGACAAAGCCAAAAGTAAAATCTATCTTAAATCGAAGTCGTTTACCGTCTTTCTTTCAATTTTGGCTAATTTTCTCACACTGAAATTATCATTTACACTCAATGGAATATAATTTTAACTGATACTGTCTATCTGAAGAAATATACATTCCTTATCTTCGAAAAAATCCGTTCAAAACATCAGGTAAATCGACGAAGTTCTTCAGCTGCTTATAAATACCGTTGACTAACATGCGTGATGATCGTTTTGCAAGTTGTGAGAACATCGTCCCTAGGCTTGAGACCCCGCCAATTTCCCCCTTCCCCCTCCCCCACTCGAACCGGCCCTAAATTTCCTTAGATAACCTCATCGACAGGCAGTGCCAAGGATTTTTAATAAAATGAAAGCTAGAAATTAAACTAACTCGAGCTCTGCTATTAGGCTTGGCTAAATCTATACATTAATGAGACTGATTAATTATTTGAAGCCTAGTTTCAACTCTAGCTTCCCATCGGGAATTACCTAAGGATATAAAATATGTGATTTAGCGGACGGTACTAATTTACTCCGATGATGACCTAATGTAGAAAAAGTTTGGTTTTTTACTTTTCCGAAATAAATTTTTGCTTGGTAAATAGCTCATTTCTAAACCTATGCTAAGATTGAAAGGTTTTAAAATAATTTTTTCTTTGAATTTCTGTGTGTTTGTTCTCAAGGTCATATTTAAGAGTATCCAGTGCGAATTGTGTAATACCGCTGGGATGAATTGTCTTTATTCAAAAGAGAAATTTCCTTTTCTTAAGGCACATCACGCCACATTTCCTCTTTCTCAAGAACAATAGAAGGACTCGGTCGGAGCGCAACCTCAGTCGCCTTCCCAACACTGAGAGCAAGTTTCAGAAAGAATTTGGTGATGTAACTGCGCATTTCCGATGTATAAATCATTTCGCTGATCAGCCTCATTGCGTGCTGTCAAGAAACTTGAATTTCAAGGTAGGTATATGACAAGACCAATCACCAGATATAGATGAATGTCTGCGATAACTGTTCGCTGTGTGCGCAAACGGCATCTTTCTTGACAGGACAAGAAAGATGACTACACGTTATCGCTTTCTGGTCGATGTCCCTTGTTAGTCCCTTTTTAAACAGTCACAACAGAAAAGAGAAAGCAAATACCTCAACCAAATACCGAGACGATCGCTCATCGCGAAACTGAAATACATTTTCCAACCTTTTCGCACAGTAAAAGAAATATCTCTCAAAGTCTAACTTAAAGCAGATGCAAAGGGTTGCATTGAAGACCATTTAATGAGTTTAAGACTAAGGAAAGTACATATACTGCGGGACTTTTCAAAAGCCTTCAGCCGCCTCATCACTTTCGATTTCTTCCAACACAATGTCCACCACAGCTTGTGGCATATTTTGGAAGACGCCAAGGAGAAATTAAAATACAATATGTCCTATATATATTGAGAAGAAAATGCGAAGAATACGCCTTTACCTGCTGTAGATTAAAGAGTTGTATTCCTGAATATAGGAAATGTTGAAATTTATGTAAATTCTGTTTGGAAACAGTTTCCGCCTCAGTTCTTTCATACAGCCTTAATTGTTCCCAGTCTGAATGGGTAAACAACACTAGTGGTAATATTAAATTAACTACATTGTTCGTTTACAACTGCCACAATGCTTCCGCAAGTTCTGAATTGTCTTCTCATAAATTCCTATAGGATACCAAGGTTAAGAATTTTCAGTTTTCATGCTATGATTCTTCAACAATTAGCCCCGGGTTGTGGTGTTTTAAATCTGCACTAGTAAATGGTCAGTCAAATAATTTCGTCTCGACCGTTTAGTCTCGTGATCGGTTGTTTTTAATTGCCGTGACTCGTGATTGTAAAAAGTTAAAAGCCGTGAACTGTGAACGATATGTCAGTTGTGATACGTGAAACAAGGAAACTATTTTCCGTTATCTGTGATTACTGAAAAGATAACACATTTTTTCCGTGAAAAATTACTTGCCGAAAATATAAATCTCCTGTCCAAGCCTGTTCGGTCAAAATGGCCGGATTGGTCAGCGCTCTATTGTTTTGAGATCTGTCAATTTGATGCCAAAAGCCCATCGTATGAAGTTTTTTTTAGCTTCTCATCCTACATCTCAAGCAAAAAAAAAAACAAACAAACCCTGATTCAATTAGCGAGCGAGCCCGCAGTACGTCATGAATTTTGGTCAGAGGATTCTCTGGTGCAACTGTTGTCGCTTTAAAATCTCAACGTGGATGTACAAGCACAGTTAAACTATTGCATTGGAGACTTACTACATTTAGGACCAAATGTTATTACATTTAGGACTTTTTTACATTTACGACAAAATGTTATTACAGTTACGACTTTTTTACATTTAGGAAAGTCATTACATCATAGTTAATCTATTAACTATGATTACATTTAGGACTTAAGGTACTGAGTACATTCAGATTTGCAATTTCGCGGAAGGTATCTTACGTCAACCTGGACGTTTGTTTTCTTCTCATTGCAAAGAGCTTCGTCCTTAATTGTCCACTCGCTCGAGGTTTTGAGACTAAATCAGTAAAGGTAAGAGCAAAACTGATATTATAAGATAAATCCTGAAGTAATTTAAGGTCTCTCTACACACACACACACATGCACATAAATGATTCTGCAGATAACCTCATTACATTGGAGTTTATAACTCCAGTGGATTCAGCGTAAAAACTTATGATCATTAAAAATACCAAGAACGCAGAGCAACTCTCAATAATGCCGGAGTCCAGACATTTAACAAGTTTGTACTCTCTCACATGCATGAAACAAGTCCTGCATCGTAATGATTTAAGTTGGAGGAAAGCCTCCGATCCTCCTAAATAATGTAGTATATCATTCATTTTTGTTTGACTTATTGCATTCATAGGTTGCCGTTGCTTGGAGGTAAACTAACATGTCTGACAGAGATCGCTCGAGTGCTAACCCAGGGAGGACCGAACTCGAACAAGTGCACACCAAACGAGTTGAGATTAAAGATGTTACAGTCACCGTTAAAGTCAGAAATGAAATCCACGCGCATACAAATCATTACATTAAGCAGAGCAAACCTTACTTCCCGAACGAGAAGTTGCGCACCTACATCGATTGTCCTTACTTTTTAAGAATCGCGCGATGGCTGTGTGGTGCCAGCCTCTTTGGAGCCCTTGTTGCTGCTGGTGCATCAAAGGCTATTCCTGCGTTCTTTCTCGTTTCCTGCCTGCTGTTCTTCTTGTTTTATTGCCAACACGAGTGGGTGAATCAGAAAACTCTGCCTATTGTTCACAAACAGCCCTTCCTCAATAGCCAGGCAGGCCGTAACAAGTTCTACGAGGTAACTGTCACTGAACTTGACGGAATTGCTCTCCAGAATTACCAAGCTGGGATTGGTTTTGTTAAACTTTCACAGGGTAAGATCAAATTTCAAGCATTTAACGAAACCGCGATGAAACGCATGTTTGAAGCTAGATGTCAGTCTCGGTTGATGCTTCTCCTTTTCTTGGCGGCCTCTGTCTACAACTGCTATTTTGTGGCAGCCTATTGACTGACCGAGCCGACGCAAGACAGATGTTATGTTATGCAGATGACAGTAAAACTGTAGCTTAGTCTAGCTTACTTGAAGCAATCTGATTTGTAGATATAAATAATCACAGAAATAAAGCAACAGATTTCCACCGAGTTATGTTGATAAGCTTGAACAACACATAACGTGAATAGCCGCTTGGGCTTGTGAGTTTTCGAAAATTTGTTTTTTTAAATCGGAAAACAGCTAGATATGTTTTAGCTCTTGTTCATGAAATGTTACTGGATTGGGTCAATGTAAACATTCATCATGTAACTTGCGTGACAACATATCCAAGTACTGACCTCTTATAATACTAATAATAATAATAATTTATCAATTTATAGTGCGCTTTTTACATATAATGATCAAAAGCGCATTACACTTTTGATTAAATTAAATATTAACTTAAACAATATAATATGTCAAACTGAGAATAGAACTGAATATAAAATTGCTCACCGATAAAAAGTTTTAAAAAGATAAGTCTTAATATGCGCCTTAAAACTGTTCATATTAGTAATCGCACGAAGTTCTTTTGGAAGAGAGTTCCAAAGCCTTGGCGCTACTACCATAAAAGCCCGATCACCTAACGTCTTGGATCGAGTAGCTGGCATAGAAAGTAAAATACTATCTGAAGATCTAAGGTTATATAAGGACGATTTAAATGTTAGTAAATCACATAGATATTTAGGAGCAAGGCCGTGAATTGCTTTGAACGTAATAAGCAGAATCTTAAATTCTATCCGGGCTTTAACAGGCGGCCAATGCAGACCGCGAAGAAGGGGTGAGACATGACAAAACCTAGATGCATAGACTAACAACAAATTATGCGACCCACTGGTATTTAATAAGCAAAGCTGGAATTCATGGATACTCAGAAATATTGTTTTTAAAGCTAACCATGGAAATCATTTCCCGGAGGCTTTAAGTGTTTTTCGAGTGAGTGGGGTATGAGGGAAGGGTGGGGGGGTTGGGTGGGGAGCTGCCTCAGCCCACATGTTTCCATGACAGTTGAAATAATCAGTGAGGTTCGTTGGCTCGAGTTACAATTTTCTCAGAAAGACCGACATAACTGATCATTGTTGTGCTTCAGGCCGATCAAATGTCGCATTTTTCGAAAGTCCTTATTGAATTTGTCATCATTTGTTCACATTCTCCGCCTTTATAAACAATACAACCCTTACGGTATACCTTACCAGACGGGTAAAAATCACTCGGTTGTCAATCCCGAGACGGAAGGGAACTAAATCAGCCCATGTTTGTGGAAAGAATCTTTACACGACGGGTTTTTCCTCGAACGTGTCTTGTCAGAGCGATAATGTCTGTGTCAACGGTGGCTGAACCTTTCCGCTACAGGCAAACGAGAATAGACAGTGTTGGCCATAAAGTGAATATTCCTCACGCCTCGGTGCATCGTTTCACAAATATCTTCATCGTAAAGAGCAGGCGCTTTATCACTGATGCCATGCCGAGATTGGAGGAAGCTTCGTGTTGTATTAGCGACATAAAGATTAAATTTAATGTCAGAACACGATTAGCTCGATGGCACTCGTTGAGTTTAACTTGTGTATGATATGGTTAGCTTGGTCTGCAGTCGCTCCCAGAAGACATCAGGTCTACGATAAGATCTTAGTGAAACCAGCAAAATAAATGCCTCTACCTTGATGAATAATATTGCTTGTATAATTCCGTTGTTCAGCATTGACTGAAACAGTGTTTAAACTGGAATATTTTTTAGACTTGACTTCTTGACAGATAATAATAATAATAATAATAATAATAATAATAATAATAACACCTCTATTTAGACACGATAATGTTTAAAGCTGAACAGCTTGTGGGGTCGTGTGTAAATCTAAATAAACTCTAAATTAAATAAATTCAAATGATGATGGTTTTTGGGGAGAGGGGAAAACAGGAGTACCCAGAGAAAAACCTCTCGGAGCAGAGTAGAGAACCAACAAACTCAATCCACTTATGACGCCGGGTCCGGGAATCGAACCCGGGACACATTGGTGGAAGGCGAGCGCTCTCGCCACTACGCCAAAGCTGCTCCCCTTTTTATCAAAACGAAGTTGTGTTAGCTTCAGTTGTTTGTTATGTTAAAACAGCATAAAGTTGGTAGCAAGCCGAGCGAAGATTGAAGGAGGTTTTAGATGTCGCATATAATCTGCTTCGCTGCTTTATTTGTTGCCAATGCTTGGGACGGTTTTCCAACGGATGTGTCTAGTAATTGTACTAAAGGTTGTTTTCTAGAGCCAAAAAGCACAAGGTTTTGGAATTTATTTTAGCGAGCTTGAAATGAAACAACTACTATCGAATGTCAATTAGATATAGTTTCAGAGAAAATCGAATTTTATAGCTCAAATTTTATTGAATCATCATCATCATCAGTCTTCTTCGTGCTCTGTTGCGCATAAGGCCTTGATACTTCTCTTCCATCGGTCCCAGTCTCTTGTAATAATCCTCGCTTCTTCCCACGACTTCCAACCTGCCTCACTTCTTTCCTTTTCAATCGATCGCCTCTAAGTTGTTTTGGGCGTGGCCACCTTTCTCTTACCGTCTGGTGACCATGTGAGGGCTATGACGCAGTGGTGGTCTTGCGGCGTCCTCAAGACATTTCCAAGAAACTTCCACCTCCTTCTCCTGACTTCTATGCTCATCGGCGCGGATCCGGTTTCTTTTTGTAATTCCTCCTTTGAAATGATGTACGGCCAAAATATACCTTGAATTCTCTTCAGGCACAG